TGTTTTAATATGCATTCTGCTAGTTATGTTTCTAAATTTACCAATTAGATTTATGGTAAGCCAGAAAGCCTATTGAATCAAGATACTTGAAGCACTTCATATTCCTAACAATGTGCTGGGGTTTAACATCTCTGTATTGGAAAACATCTGTGAAGTAGCACATTGCATCTTTCCAGTTGTTGTTTTGAATTGAATGTTTTGTGCTGAGTAATTCCATATATTCCTAATATCTCTACCTATTGTTTTAGTTTTCCATTAGATTCAGAGATTCTAGGTTTTAGACAAGTGTGTCCTAGAATCTGTTTATTCCCAGGATGCATCTGAGTTTGACCTGAATTCTTCCTCTGCCTGATCTAGGTCCATTTGCACCATGACATGCATTCATGATTTCCTCTCACCCTTGGCACAGTAGTTGTTCATTGTTGAACATCTATGCAATTCTCCTCTTTATCTTCCTGTTGCTTCTTTTACTTTTGATGCATATTTATTTTACCTGTGATGAAATCTAGGAAAGGTATCCTTTTACATCTATTTTTCCTCTTCCTCAAGGACACAGATGTTCAATAGTCCTAGTAGGGTACTTTCTCTAACAGATGAAAGACATCTTCAGAAGATGTACAAGTTATCTGGAAATCAGTTGCCATAAAAAAAAAATAAAACAAATCATAGGCATCCTTGGGAGAGGGCTGAAACTTGAGAGTTTCACTTAGGTGTTACATAGATTTGGGTAAAATAAATGCAGGGGGAAACTTGAGGTCTGTGTATTAGCTCACCCATGGAAAGGACAACTGATAGGCTGACCAGATTTTTCTTTTCTTTGTTACTTAGTAACTATCACATATCCTGCACATGCAATGGGAGGAGTTACAATTTGGCTTCTGAGAGCTTAGTTAGAAGAAAAAGCAAAGATGGGAATGTGATAGACACCCACAAACTAAGGAGTGGAAATTGCCAGAGAGATGTGGGAAGATTGAGGATGACACATGGGAGAAGAGTGCTTGCCCAGCATCCACCAGTATATTGGTGCCTACATGGTACTGAGAAAAATAATATGACAGAAGAAAAGAGGAGAGGACCACACAGTAAGGAAGAGGAGGCAATAAGATAACAGTGAAAAATGAAGGGATTGGGCAGGAAGGAATTTAAGGAAATGAAAGGGAACAGAAGGGGACAGAATGAGAAAGAAGAAGGGAAAAGAAAAGACTTGTAAGTAGAGTTATGGTCAATAGCGATTTTAATATTTACCTTGCCAAAGATCTTAATTCATTTAAGATAGTTCAAATAATAAGGCCCCAACTCACACTTCAATCACAGAAGATCCTGATAAAAGCCATATTTTCAGACTATTTCTGCAAAACCTATAAGTATCCTGCTCATCACTATGGATAACCTGATTTGTAAAACTTACATTTGTTATACTTTTCTTCAGAATAATCCTACTACTAAAGATTATAACAACATTCTGCCATGTTGTGTGCTGCTGTTCTTATTATAAACTGAATTGCTTGTCATGCTTTTTATATGGCTACTGCATATTCCTTCACTGGTAAACCCAAAGTTATCACAAAATTGCCTTTAGGAATCCTTAAGGAATTCATTTTTTAATGTAATTTTATTTCATAGAAATGTTGGTTGATATCAGAGCAGTATAAATCTGGCATTCATTTCACCCAACTTGAGTTAGTCAACATAGCTCATTTTTTCCCATTATCATTTCCTTATTAAACTATAAAGAGCAGTACATCTTCCAACTTTTATTAGAGTAGTTGTTTTTGCAATAAGTGAAAATTAATACAATGTTTCACAACAGATCAATATGCAAGTAACAAGAGACTCGTGTAGAGCTCAGCTCTGAATTGGGTCACCTATTATCATTCCCCCTTTCCACAAAGCCTACAGATCTTTGTAGAAGATTATATGGGCCAAAGCTAGTGGGTATCTGCAACAAATTATTACTTGCTGGACATGGCAGGCCTTTGCACACACAAAGACTTAGCAGCTATGACTGTATGTGTTATCCTGTACAGAAGTAAGTCAGGCATACTCCCTGACTGGATGTGGGGGAGGCTCTTGAAGTCCATACTAGCTGAGTAGCTATTCCACATGTAGAGCTGTAGTGGTAGATTTTCTTCGGTGATTGTGTGGGCCCTGATAGTCTAGTGGTGTTCCATTACATACATGGTTTTACACAAATACAAATACCTAGAGCACCAAGTGGACTCAATAGGTCTGGAAAAAAAGTAACAAGAGTTTGGAGTTATGAAAGCTAGACAGATAGCTCAGCAGTTAAGCATTCTTTCTTTTCCGGAGGACCTAAGTTTGGTTCCTAGGACCCACTTCACGTGGCTCACAACTGATGAGAGTTATATCATGTAGTTACGGATGTCTGTAGCTCCAACTCCACCATATCTGACACATTTGGCCTCCGAGGGCATCTATACTACCATGCACACATCCACAAGAAGAGACAGACAATTTTAAAATGTGAAATCTCATATATATATATATATACATATATATATATATATATATATAATTTTTTTATTTAATTTTATATAACAAAGTCCAATTAAATGAAAACAAACATTTATACACAATATTTGGGAATTTGGGCGTCGTTCTTTCCAAACTACTTCCTGCTGGTAAGGGGCGCTTTCTTGGGGAATTCGAAGAAGATTCAGATATCCTAGCTGTAGTCTGTAGGGCTGTTTTGTCCAGCTGTTTGGAATGTAGGATCAGCTTGTACTCTGTTTCAGGTGGTCTGGCGTGATCAAACCACTAAAATGTGAAATCTCTTAAAGTCTGATTTTAAAAAGAGATTTGTGAGGTAAAAGTTTTAAAGAAGATAGGGGAAGACAATAAAAGCACGGAAAGGGCATTGGATTTCATCAAAACGTACTACATGCAAGACAATTCCAAACAATAAAACAAAGTTTAAAGAGAGTTCATTCAATAGCGAAGGGAGTCTGAAGAGCAAAGTTGTACAATAGTTTGTATAAGATTTAATGTTAGCTTTGCATAAAACGAGCATTAATCAAATGAATAAAGAAAATAATCATCCCCAAATTGGCCTATGGCCCATCTTTTAATTCCAAGGAACATGTTTAAGTCAAAAGTCAAAGAAAACATGTGAAGCCTAAACACGATGAAAACTCTCCAAGTACTTCTATGCTTTTCTGACCTTCCATAGAGTTTAGTGATTATGAAAACTAATCAGGACTGAAAATTTAGTCTGTCACTCCAGCTTGGAATGCCAAACATGTTGATACTCTTTCATCTTTCATTCTAGTCTAAAATAGAAAAATTCAGTTTGCCTACAAAGTAGCGTTCTGAGCAGGCAAGCAGATGTGTCAGTCATTGGTGAGGCAGCATCATGTACAAGAAAGTAGGAGACTGTTTTGATGAAGTGTCCAAATAGAATAATATTCATACCCACAGCTTTCTCATGTTTGTCAAAAGAGCTCCTTGCGTCTTTCCTTCTGTTGCTTACACTGGAAACTATATTAAGCAATTTACTGAGATAATCTTTTCGGAGCTGTTGCTCTTCATGTGTCAAGATTAAGTTTGAGAAAAGAGATCAGAGAAATCACAAATAAGGTTGAAGTTTTATGTATAGCTTTTCATTCTACTCTGTTTCATTATTTGTAAACATGAAGAGCTGGCTGACTAGGGAACTTGAAAGGATTTAAAACTTCCAAAGTAGTAAACATTAAAATGAAGGGCTTTAAAAAATACAGTAGCAAGATTACTGATTTGTGTGATCCATTTTATAAAATCTAAGATAGTGTTGATACCTAAGAAAATTTCTAATGTTAACTGTTTCATTTTTTAAAATAGAATGTCTGGCCTCAAAATCTTTCAGGAAGAGTCCCTCTGTAGTATAGTATCTAAGTAGATACTAAAGCAAATACCACAGATTTGAAGATGTCACTTATAGTGCCAGGACTCTGCTACAATAAGAGAAATGAATGTGTAAAAATCAATGGAAAAATAAAAAACCTCATTAATTTAATCTCATTTCAGTGTCCTTTCTTATTCAGTAATCCTTAGGGAATTAATATTTAAGAATAATTTTATCTCAGCATTTTGAGAAAATGTTTTATACTTATATTTTCTTACTTAAAAGTATGGTTTCACAATTCTGCATTGGAAATTGAAATGTTAAGGGTAAATTTTATCTCAGGAATAGATACAAGCATTTGTTGATTTGAAGGGGAAAGCTCTTCCTCGGGTCACATAACTTTCTTGTGAGGTAGACACACTCACTGGTCTTCAGAATGCCTTACTGTAATACTCCACTCAAGTGGCTTAATTGGGACATTAATCTAAGCATGTTTGTTATTTCTGAGCTCATTACTGCCTAAGGGGAACGTTGTGTGCAAAGAAAGTGATATATCCTTGGTAAGTATAGATGAGTCTGTTGAACTTAGATAACAAAGCAGTTGCTTTTAAATGTTTTTTTTTAAATACTTGTGTCATTAAGAAAAAGGATAAGATTCATTTTAATTTGCTTGGAAAAGAAGCACTGTTAGAAAAGCCTTCTTGTCATTCTGTAAATATCAACATTCAATGAATATGTGTCACAGCAAATATTATGTAATTATTTTTAAAAGAGATATTGAAGAAACTATCTTTTCATAATTGTTTATAAATATGTCAGGTACTGTTCTGAATACATTAAAGAATTTTCCTACTAAAATGATCTCAAGGGCTTGGCAGTGGTGGTGCATGCCTTTAATCCCAGAACTTGGCAGGAAGAGAAAGGATCTCTGTGTGTTTGAGGTAGGCTTAGTCTACAAAGTGATTTCCAGGATAGGCTCTAAGGCTATGGAGTAACCCTGCCTTGAAAAACCTAAACAAACAAACAAACAAACAAACAAACAAATAAATAAATAAATAATACCAAGGAAAAGAGCATGGATCCAACAAATCATTTTTTGGTATTTGGAAACATTCTATGATGTAACAGCTGCACTAACATTAAAAAAGAATACGAAGTTATATTTACCTGGCAGGGGAGATACCATGATCTCAAATGTGGTTTTTCCTGAGCAAGGCTAATCAATTGCACTATGAATGTGCTGACCCCTGCAATTTCCCTAAATGCAAGAAATTTGATAGCATATTTTGTGGTAGTGTGGGACTGTGTTTGTACTTTTCTTGTTATGAAAAAAAAGAAAGAACGAAGCAAGATTACAAAGTTAATTTTGCATCTATCTCAACTATATTTAATTTTAATTACAAAGATGTATCTTGGTGATTTTATTTCCATAATTAAAAATATAGTTGTGGCTTGCGATTGTTTCAGTGAGATTGAATACCACTGGCTTGGTTCCCAGTAGATAGAAGGGTTTGGGAAGGATTGTGATTTAGCATTGTTAAGGAAGGTTATTCTGTAGGCACAAGCTTTGAGGCTTCAAAGTACTTATGCCATTCCCAGTGTTCGATGTCTCTGCCTAGTGCTTGAGGATTAAGATGTGAGCTCTCAGCTGTTTCTGCCACATTGTCTTTGCTCTCTTATCATGGACTCCAATCATCTGAACCATAATCCCAATTAGGGGGTTACTTTTTAAGTCGCCATGATCATGATGTTTTATCACAGCAATAGAAATGTAACTACTACACAGACAAACAAGGTCCTTTTGAAGGAAACGGACATAACCATCAACAAGTAGGAGAATGTTTGCTGCTAAACATAACTCTTTTTGACCTGACATAATTATTTGCTTTTTGTGTAATGATTTTGTGTAATGTCTGTGGACCCAATGCTACACCATGTTTTTTGTAATTAGAAACTTCTTCCTTCATATATGGCGGGCGGTTGAAACTGAGTCCGGAAAGCCTCAGGGTGAAATAGGGTTGAAGAAGCAATGGAAAAGACATAAAATGAGGCTAATTGGGGACAACTATTATTTACATAAAGTGTTTTTAAATTAGGTTTGAAAAATGACACTTCTATGCAGCCTGTTTTCCAACTCATTAGTTGGACACCTTAGTTATATGTTTGCAGTGTTTCATCTATGTGTTATTAGTTGCAAATTAGAAAGGAGTATTGTTTGCCACACAGCTTATCTGAAGATTAAGCCAAAAATTTATTTTAAAGACTTTAATACAAAGCTATTTAACACCAGATGTAAAAAAAACTAATCTGTTTTCTATACAATTATACATATATATTGTGCAATGAGAAAGTCAAAGGGAATGACATATCCTTACCTTAGACATTTGTATCCCATAAATATATTGTCATTATCATCCAATGAACAGAGTAGAATTATTTTAACAGACAGTTTTCTTATATTATCTTTGTGATCTTAAGCAAGTTATTTATGTGTTTTCACTTTTACCTGTTATTAAAAGTGACTAAATGATACCTAAAAGCCCATAAATAACAAGAGTTCAGGATACAGTAGCTCTCATCCTTCAATTATACATGAGAAAATTTCATTCGTGTAACATAAGAAACATTCACATTTACAAATAATATGAATACATATAGCATTTCAAATAATCAAAAGAGGTATCCAAATACAAGTGCCCCAGAATATTCATTAGACAACATAGGTTGTTCAGAGAGCATGAGTTCTATTTGGTGGTTAAAATCATTTGCAAGCTTGTCAACTATATCAACACAGGATAATCAGTAGACAATTAACTTTCTCCATGTTCTTATAATTCTCAATCAATAACATCTAATTGCTTTGTGTTCCAATGAGTGATTCTCCAGCTAATGACTGACATGAAACTTTAGGAAATATAGAAGAGAAAATCATTATATCAGGAAAAAAAAATCTTTGTAATCATCTTATAAGAGTTTATTTATAAATCAAACTTTTGTTTCACTGAATTGAAGTTAATTAGGCACTGTATATTCAACTTCAGTCAACGAATCTCTTTAAACATAAGTTTTTTTTCTCTGAAATAGGAAAAAGAAACCATTAATGATGAATTACTACTCTCACTCGTTACTGTGAGAATTGAAACAGCAAAATGCAATGATAAAATCCAGAGCTCAGTCAGCTAAGATTACATACTTTGTACTGAGGGAGTCTAAAAATATATGTCTTATATGTCCAAAGAGCACACAGATAACTGCTGAGTAACTCAAACATAAACAGGAAAGAAATTTGATAGCAAACCTTGGTGGAGGTCCAGATCAAGGCTAATTACAGCCACTCCATTTTGAAACAATGAGTTAATAAGGTGGGAGGACACAGGGGAAGGCAAAACATGATGAGTCCTGCTGCTCTAAAATCTAAAACCTTGACCCTCCTTAACAACGTGCTTCTTCCCATGAAACTGCCTAGGCTGATGTATGGGTTAGTAATTTGGTGGAGGAAGAGGCCAAACAGAGCTATGCTTTGGTCATGTCACCTGTGTTGAAGATGATCATTAGGGAGGAAGTCACACTCTCCCCAATTGTGAAAATATGCCAGACACACTGTGGATATAGCATCAAGTTACTTTCCAGTGCTCATTAAAGGACAGAAAGAATAGGATCTGCTATTTAGTGTCAGAGACATGATTTTGCATACAGTATCACTTTATATGTTAGTAGCATAATAAAATTAAGAATGATTTAACAAAAAAGCATGTTTTATAACTCAGTGACTGGGCTAGGTTTGAGCAAAGTTGTATTGCCCTTGACACACATTTAAATGCACAGGCATTACACTGATAATATGCTAAAAGAAAGTATCCACTGCATTCAATACATTGTCAGCATCCTCCATTGGCTAACAAAGCAAGCTAAAAGGTATACATGTTGGAAGAAGGAAACAAGAAAGAATAAGAAGTTCATGCAATGTGTTGATGAAAGACAACAGCACTGTCACACTCTGAATATATTATGCACTTGTGTGCATGGGACTTTATAAATGCCTACATGAAAAAAAACTGAAAATTGAGTAAGAAACCTTTCTAAACATCTGTGACACTTTTTGTCATGTAACTTCCCCTTATCTTACCTTTAAAATATGTATTTGAAGGTCTCTGAATGTGGTCCTTTCTTCTCTCCTTCCAAAACATTCATTACAGGTTATAGCTTTGTGTTTACTTGTTCATTACTCCTCCCCTGAAGACTGAAAGTCCTGTGAGCAGTGGGATCATGAGTATTGCATTCACTCCTCTTTTTCTAGCACTTAGGCATGTCAGTTAAATAGTTGCTTTAAAATATATGTGTATAATGCATGAATGGTGTCTTTTTCCTGAAGAGAAATACACATAATTGTAATTCATTACTGGAATGATCCCACCTTTAGTTGTCATGTGGATATAAGCTTAAAATCATATTACCTCAGGAGGTGCTCATTTCATTTCTATATCCATTTATGTTCATAGGAAGGATACCTATCTGCAAACTCTGAGAACTATAATGACAGTATCATGAATAGACATGACTTAAAGAGAAGGCATGGAACTATACCAGTTCTTAATGAAGGAAACTTTACCAGGAGATCCAGATTGTCTGGAGACCAATTCTCAATCTGCGCAAAGCTTTCTTGTATGTTCACATGGTGAGAATCAGAAAGTAGAATACCTCCTGTCTCTTCCCATCATCAGACCTAGGGCCTGGATCCAGACTCTCACATTCACTAGCCAAGCCCTCTGACACTGGGAATCATCTTGCCTTTTCTTCTAAGGGAACTAATGTTGCTCCTTTGTCAACACTAGGGTCAAACTCAGGGACTACCCCATTCTTGAGAACTCTTATGACTAGCTACTCCCCAGTGATTCACTTTCTCTATGAAAGCTAGTATGTCTCTTGGGGCTGGGGTGGGGGTACAAAGGCAACATCCTAGTAAGGATTCTTGACTTATCTTGAACTTACCACACAGCCGACATTTCTCCAACCTGAAACAATCCTACCGCTGTAGTCTTCTGATTGCAAATCCTTGCCACCATACCCAACTAATGGTGATTCAAGATATAAATTTTGGAAGACACAGTCTATTCACAAGGGAAACTGAATAGCGTATAAAGTGTTGTGCTTGGTGAAAACTAGTTAATTATTTTTCATGAGGTAGAGTTGTTTTGAACTGAACTTTCTATGATAATTATATGGTTCTGACCATATATGTCCATTCATCTTAGTGGACTAACAAAGTTTCTAAGAAACAAGGAAAATTGTTTGAAATGGAAATTTAATATAGGCATGTACAATTTTTCCTATTAAGACCAACTTTTGTGAGCCTAAGATTTTTATATGGATAAATGAAATTATATAGGAAAAAAACTCTCAAAGTGTACTCTACGCAAAAATGAAGATTACAAGCAAAAAGCTCCTTTAGATCTACACTAGACATTACGAATAAGCAACCCTGCCTCATGCCTCAGTTGTTAATGTTACTGATGTCACATGTATTTTTTTCTATGAATTTAAGAGTTTATAAAAAAAAAACAAAGCAGAAATCCATCTTAAGAGTCTGTCAGGGAATTACTAGCTCAATGTTTTAAGATGTATCAGCCCATCTTTTGCTAACACAAAGTGTTGCATGGAAAACCATTCAGTACACCTAGAAATTGGGGCTTTCAATATTAGTGGCAATTAACAGCAGACATCAGTTATAGATGTGGCAAACCAACCTTGGCTCTGGCAGAAGGTGGTATCCAAGCCCAGAGGGAAGAAAGCTGTGGCATGGCATCCATGAAGTGATGTTTCTACTTCCCTTTTATGTTCCACATATGGCAATCAAGAGTCTCATTAAAGCAAAGAAGTCTGCTTGTCTGCTGCTCATTATGTTGTGGGATCATTACTAGTTACTTTTTCAGTAAAAACAGTTTTTATTCCTGTAAAGAATGAGAGACTTGTCCAAGGAAACTCTTATCTAAGAAGAGGATTCAGGTTTGTGGTATCCCCATGCAAAACTTAATGTGGACATTCACAAGACACAAGGTTCCTCCTAAGAAGGGGAAGTAATAATTGATAAGGATGTACATAGAAAATCACGAAAGCTTTAGGAAGCACAAGAAAACTGGTAGTGGAATCAGCTCTATGCAAATGTGCTTTGGCATTTGCATATTTCCTTTTCCTGCTTCATATATTAAAAGAGCCCCAGGTGGTGCTTTTAAAAAGTGCACAGTTTGTTTTGGAATTCTTTAACAATTTGTGTGTTTTGCTCATTCTCCAGCTGTATCCAAAAAAGAAAAAAAAAAAAATGGCAG